CAGACGTATCGCGGACAAAAGCTCGAGATCCCCAGACCCGAAAACGCGACGCATCGCCAACCTCTTCCGTCCACAGCAGTGTGGGCGAGGTCTCCGGCAAGGAGACACGGGGCCAGAGGTTGAGCTGATGCGCAGCGTATCGGACCGCAAACGGCCACAGAAAGTGGGGGGCAGCCGCATGGATCAAGGAGGTACGAGCGAACTTCATGACTAAGCCATTGCGGCGCTCAGCAACCCCATTCTGCTGTGGAGAGGCCGGAAGCGTGAACGACTGCTCAATACCGTGCTCCGCACAGTAGGCTGCCAAGAGGTCGGAGGAGAACTCACCACCTCTGTCAGAGTGCAGACGCAAGACAGGAAAGTCCAAGTGGAACCGCTCGCTGAGCTGGAGACGAGAAGCGCGGATCCAAGGGATCAACACAGCAGGGACCTCACCCTTGGTGCGCAAGGGGAAGACCGTGGTGTAGCGCGAGTAGTCGTCAACAACGATCAGGAAGTACCTCTCCTGACCCTGTCCACGGACGCGGGCTGGGCCCCACACGTCCATGTGGAGCATCTGCAAGGGAGCAGTCGTCGGGGGAAACGAGGAGGAGTGAGGAGCGGCGCGCTGCCGCCCCTCGACACAAGGAAGACAGGGAGGAGCAGGCGAGGGTGGGAGGGGAGGAAGTACCCGGGGAAGACCAGAGACAAGGTACCGTTTGTGCATGGCACGAAGGCGCTGCACTGACGGGTGACCAAGGCGGTGGTGCCAAAGGACAGTCTCGTGCGCCAGAGAGCGACACGAGCAGGGGGCAGACAGCTGACCTGACGCAGACGCAGACGCAGCTACCTGAGGGGACTCAGTGGTCAGTGTGTACAGGTCCGACCCTAGCTGCCTAGTGAAGGTAGCCAGGTGACGGCCCGTCCGAGCACACGTGCAGTGTGTCACACGCTCGTAGGCAGGGGTGAACTGGTGGACACCCCCGTCCTGTAGGGCACAGCCTGCCACCAAGTTCGTAGAGAACGAGGGGAGGTGGAGACCTGACAGAGTGCCCGACGGAACCGCAGGACAAGGAAGGACAGTGGAGGAGGTCGCAATGACCGGACCCCCAGAGGGGTCAGCAAGGGAGACAGCAACTGGCCGAGCAAGCTGCTCAAGGGCAGTGCGGTCACGAAAGAAACAGCGAGAAGCTCCTGAGTCTAGGGTGAAGGTGTGCAGCGCCTCAGTGGACTCAGTACCAGGGGGCGCAGACTCACTAGCACCTGGAGCAGCAGCCTCACCAGCACCTGGGGCAGTAGACACGCAAGCACCTAGAGCAGCAGCCTCACCAGCACGTGGGGCAGCAGACACGCAAGCACCTAGAGCGGCAGCCTCACTGGTCCGAATGCCCGGGTCGGGCGGAACACGCAGGTACTGATCACCCTCTCCACTAGTAGACAACACATACATGGCAGTGAGAATAGCATCAAAGTCAAGAGCAAAGACATCAATGTTCTTCTTCATCAGATCCCACCAGCGGGGCAGCTCAGTGGCAGTGGGGAACTGAGTGCGCCAAGCGTCGTCGAGGCGGGAGAAGCAGCGCTGCGTGGTGTGCGCCCTCCCACACGTGTGGCCAGTGCGCTCACCAGTGCGGATGACGTACGTGCAGCTAAGGCCACCCCCCCCCCCCCCCCCCCCCCGTGCTGAGAGTACCACTCACGAAGCTCCTGGGGAGAGAGAGTCTGCTGTCCGCCAGCGCCACCACGACCACCACCTCCGCCGCCACCACCTCGACCACCACTGCCCCTGCCGCCGCCTCGTCCACCACCGCCCCAACCACTGCCCCCACCCCGGCCACCTCCTCCGCTGCTGCCGCCAGCACCCCCACCACTGCCACTAGCCCCTCCTGCCCCGCCACCTCCCCCACCGCCTCCACCGCCCCCACCACCGCCTCCCCCGCCGTCACCTCCACCTCCCTTGCCCCCTTTGTCCTTGCCGCTGCGGCGCCAGCTCGGAGCGGACGCAGTCCCGACCTGCTCAGTACCAACGAGGTCGACAGCAGCAGCAGAGGCGACAGAGGGGAGCAGGGGGGAAGGGGAACACCCCTCAAAGAACGGGGTGCGGGGGTCGCCACGAGAGGCAGCTACAGCGACTATGCTAGTCTCGGCTGCAAGCAGTTCCTTCTCGAGCAGGTCAACGGTGAGTTCAGTGGGGCAGCGAGCGAGGAAGTGGTCCCTGACCGCACGAAGAGAGTCAGGGAGACGGGTGACAAGGTGGTAGAGAGTGAGCCAGAGCGGGGGGGGGTGGGTGGCAAGAAACTCAGCGGGCATAGCGGCACGAAAGCGAGCCTCACTAGTGCGGTGGTGCGTGGTGAGGTCAGCGACTGTGGCAAACGCGGACAGGTCTGGGAACAGGTAGGGGAGCGAGAGACGGCCTAGCGCAGCAGAGGCAGGCGAGGAGTAGCGTGCAACTACAGCAGTGTACAGTGCCTGTGCAGTCTTGTGCTGGCCAAAGTGCTCGCGCTCATCTACTGGCAGGGAGTTGCGAATAGCAAAGCGAGCGTGGGCGTCACGAGTCTGCCACTGTGAACGGGCAGTACTGTCAGCAGTAGTAGCAGGGGCAGCAGCATTGCCTAGTGCGTGATCGTACAGCGAGATATCCTCCTTAGCAGTGAGCTGGAGGAACAGGTGCAAGTCATCGAGCCAGGTCTCAAACTTCAGTGGGCGACCCTCAGCATCAAAAGCTAGAACAGCAGGGCTAGCCATAGTTGCAGTAAGAGCAGTGGTAGCAGCAGAAACAGTAGCAGCAGGCGAAACCCTAAAAGCAGTAGGCAGTGCGACTCGGGTAGGGCGGCTCGGTCCAGAGGGGGCTGCTCAGTACTGGGAGGGCGGCGCGGCTCGGTTCGGGCGGCGCGGCTCGGCTCGGTTCTGGGCGGCTCGGTTCGGGCGGCTCGGTTCGGGCGGCTCGGTTCTGGCGGGGCCGTGGCGGTCGCACGTGGGGCGGCTCGGTTCTGGCGGGGCCGACGTGGCCTCTAAGGAGCGAACGCGGGGCCGACGGGGGGGGGGGGGGGGCGCTAAGGGGCGGCGACGGGGCCTTAAGGGGCCTCTAGGGGGCGAACGCGGGGCCGACGGGGCCGCTAAGGGGCGGCGACGGGGCCTTAAGGGGCCTCTAGGGGGCGAACGCGGGGCCGACGGGGCCGCTAAGGGGCGGCGCGCGAGGTCGACGGGGCCGTAAGGGGCCTCTAGGGAGGCGGCGTTCGGGGTCGACGGGGCCTTGAGGGGCCGCTAAGGGGTCGACGGGGCCTCTAAGGGGCGAACGTGGGGCCGACGGGGCCGCTAAGGGGTGGCGCGCGAGGTCGACGGGGCCGTAAGGGGGCCGTGAAAGGGCGGCGCGCGGGGTCGACGGGGCCTTGAGGGGCCGCTAAGGGGTCGACGGGGCCGTAAGGGGGCCTCTAAGGAGGAGCGCACGAGGGCGCTTAGACAGTGGGGCGCACGAGGGCGCTAGGAGACAGTCAAAGTGGTGGGCCCGTAAAAAAAATTTCGGTCCTAGCGGAGGACCTGCTCTGAAACCATGTTAAAATGTACGAAACAGGGATGATTGACTAGCATGAGGGTTGGGTACAAATAGGTCAAACCTAACCCTAGAAGTGTTGTACTCCCTAAGGCTAAACCCACTATAGCCTACACAAGATATAAACATATAATGTTTGACATTTTTACCAATATTTCTTCACACAGTTTCCTACTACATCCTATAACCTAAGCCATAGGAACTGGTTTGACCTCGTTCGCACAACTACGCAGCACGCGACGCATGTTTGTGCATCTGCTGGCCTGAAACTGTGCAAGGATAGGCCTGTGCGCAACATGTCATTGTTTCAACGTCTGGGTGTTGTTTTTACCTCTATCTCTTCACACAGTTCCCTAGTACATCCTATTTCCTAGCCATAGGAACTGGTTTGACCTCGTTCGCACAACTACGCAGCACGTGGCGCTTGTTTGTGCATTTGCTGGCCTGAAACTGTGCAAGGATAGGCCTGTGCGCAACATGTCACTGTTTCAACGTCTGGGTGTTGTTTTTACCTCTATTTCTTCACACAATTCCCTAGTACATCCTATTTTCTAGCCATAGGAACTGGTTTGACATCGTTCGCACAACTACGCAGCACGTGGCGCTTGTTTGTGCATTTGCTGGCCTGATACTGTGCAAGGATAGGCCTGTGCGCAACATGTCACTGTTTCAACGTCTGGGTGTTGTTTTTACCTCTGTTTCTTCACACAGTTCCCTAGTACATCCTATTTCCTAGCCAATCCTGGCCACTGCAACTGCCCAATGCTTCTGTTCCGACGGTCCATATGCTACGTAACCCGACGTGACTCTTCGCGTCATTCCGTCTTTTCGCCTTCGTACTCCATACTGCGTGCTTCACTTGCTACTGATGGAGTGCACCGTCCTTTCACAATTCATTATTCGTAACAGATCTTGCCTAGGATCACCTCAGGAAGGTTCGCGCGAGTAAATTGAAGCGGAATTATTGATCTGATGTCAAAGTGAATATAAAATGAATGAGATTATTATAACAAGCACATAGATAGGCTTATACAATGGGAATGCACAGTTATATTTACTATTCCTAACAACCATTGTGTGACTGGATCACAATTCATTGAAATTAATCTGGCAAATCATTGATTGACAAAAGGTATCAAGTGAGTTCACTAAACAATACGGTATACAGATGGCAAATATTAACTTAACAAATTGTACAGCATTCTACAAATGATTCACGAGGCTGGTTCGAAGCTCGGCTTAGAAAGGCTCGGGAGGTTCGGATTGGCTAGCTGGAAAGCTACGTCCCGCAACTTCAAGCTCGAACCTTGGGCTGGTTGCGCGTCAGCTTCGAAACCTGCCCTCAACCTGCGCTCAACTTGCGGCAACATACCATGCACCTACGCTCGACTTACCCTAAACCTGCGCCATAGCAATGAGGTGTAAACGTAGGCTTTTCAGAACCTACGTCACACACCTCACCATTTTTGGGATGTTCCGTCGCGCTCTCAACTACCGTCGCTCTCTCAATTCCGTCGCGCTCTCCCTTCCGTCGCGCTCTCACTCCCGCCGCTATTACACTTCCGTCGCTCTCTCACTTCCGTCGCGCTCTCACTCCCGCCGCTCTCTCACTCCCGTCGCTCTATCACTTCCGTCGCGCTCTCACTACCGTCGCTCTCTCACTTCCGTCGCGCTCTCCCTTCCGTCGCGCTCTCACTCCCGCCGCTCTCTCACTTCCGTCGCGCTCTCCCTTCCGTCGCGCTCTCACTCCCGCCGCTCTCTCACTCCCGTCGCTCTCTCAGTCACTATCGCGCTCTCACTCCCGTCACCCACGCCAGCCTGTTGGTAGCACCTTTCGCGCGGCACACGTGCAGCCCAAGACTCACTAACACATGTCCCTCTCCTCCCGTCCCTCTCCTCCTCTCTCCCCCCTTGCCTCAATGTCCCCTCCTTCACCCCCCGCTCTCGCCTGTCCCACTACCGTGTTCCCGCTCATATCTGCTCCTCTCCCCCTCTTCCCGCTCTGCTCTTCCCCTGTTCCTCCTCTTCCCATCTTCCCCCGTCACTCACACACGACACACGCGACATGCTCACACATGTTCCCATCTCCCCTCTCCTCCCTTCCCTCTCCTCTCCTCTCCTCCCTTCCCCCTCCTCCCCTTCTCTGTCTTCGCCTCGCCTCCCCTCCTCAACACATCCCCTCTCCTTCCTTTCCCTCTCGTCTTCTCTCCTTCCTTCCGTCTGTCCATTCCCCGGGAAGAATTGGGAGGGGGACTGAGGAGCCTTCTCTTCCCTACTGGCTCACTAACTCCCGTCTGTTACCCACATCAATCCTGTCAATCACTGTGCGGCCTCTTGCTTTCCTCACTCTCCCACTCCTCCCTACCCTCTCTCTCTCACCCCCTCCCTCTCACACCGCTTCCGTCTACCACTACTGCAACTGGCGTGCCTCCCCGTGACGCAGGGTGCAGGTGATGGCGGCGTCTTTGCATGGCTATGTGGCATTGTCAATGTTGGGGAGAAGGGGTGGGAATGGGAGGCGGACGGGAATGGGAGACGTCGCCCACGTCGCTCCCGTCACTCTCTTCCCTTCGGGCCCGTCCCTCTCCGCCTCTCGCCCCTTCCCTCGTCGCCTCTCCCCTTTCCCTTTCCCCCATGTCGTTTCATGCGCTTTTCCGATTTACCTACGCTCCCTTCCTCTATTGTCCGTCCCACCGTTACTCCCCCTTGTTTCCCTCCTTTTTCGCCCGTGTCCTGCCCTCTGTCCCCTCGATCCCCCTGCCCTATACCCCATGTCTCTCCCTACCTTTGCCCCATGCCCCATTCTCCCTGCGCCATGCCTCAATACCCATACACCATACCCCACGCCCCATGCTCTCTTTGCCTCTTCTCCTCTTCCAATCAATCCCGCTTACTTCGGTAAGACTTTCTTCCCTCCCCCGTTCTACCCCTTAGCACCCCTGCCACACCTCCCCTCCTCCACCTCTGTTCCTACTCTCCCTTCCCTTCCCCCACTGACCTTCCCCACTGTTCCCCCCCTTCCCCCTCCCTCCCTTTCCCCCATATCCTCCCTCCCCTTGCCCCACCATCCCTGACTCCTTGTCCTTCCCTCCCTATCTCGAACAGCCAGCCTATCCCCCCTTGTCTGCCCTCCTTTCCTCACCTCTCCCCGTCTCTGCCCACCTCAGCCCTGCTGTACCGTCACCCCCCTGCACTTCGTTCCTCATCCGTTTCGTGATGCCACTTACCCATGCGGCCACCCGCCGACTTGTCGGAGTGCCCACTCACCGTTCACCCGCTCGGCCACTCGCCTACTTGGCCTTTGCCCATCACCCATCGCCCATCGTCCGTCACCCATCAACCATGACCTCTCGCATGGAGTATGCTGCTGATTTCGAGAAGGCGGGGGTGGAAGGGGTCACACTGGTGGGCATGACACGTGGCCACCCTGCATTGGCCAACATGCAGCCTGCTGGCCGCTCTCCTTTCGAGGTGAGCACAACACACATATCACACATGCATGGGCCTGTACCATAGATGTCATGCGAGCATGTGTGACACTTGCATGTGCCACCTACCATGCAGCTAGCCACTCCCCCCTGCACTGCACCTGCCTCAAAATAACCCGCCATGTGCTTCCCCTAGTGCCTCCCCACGTGCCTTACTCTGTGCCTCCTCCAGTGCCTCAATCTGCGTTCCCCCTCTGCCTTTCGCCGGGCCTGCCCGTTGGCACCTCCTCAGACGTGCTGCCTCCCCACCACCTCCCGATTCCCTGCCACCCTCGGCCCCCCATCGTTCTGCCCATCGCTTCGCGTGACTGCCCGGGAGGGTGTGGGAAAGAGGCCTGCAGGTGGAGCATTGAGGCGTCATGGCGGCCAACGCAGCATCAGCTCAGGCCTGGGCAGGCGGGGCAGGCGGGGCAACAGGTGCAGCAGCAGGCAAAGCCCTCGCGGCAATTCCGTGCTCTGTAGCCAGCTCGCGGTGCATGGCGGCAGCACTCACGATCATTTCACTGTGTCCTGCACACCCCCTTCCCTCCGTTTCCCCCGTGTAAGCCTACCTCCCTTTACCCCCTGTGCTTCATCCTTTTTGCAACTTGTCCCTCCCTCCGTTTCCCCCATGTCCTTCCCTCCGGTTCCTCCGGAGCCGTTTCCCCTCTTGTCCCCGTCGTTTTCCCTTTCCCCACTTCCCATCCCTCCGATTTCCCCTCTTGTCCCTGCCCCTTTTCCCGCCCTTGTCCTTCCTTCCGTCTAAACCCTTGTTTTCCCTCCCTTTCCCCTAGTCCTTTCCTCCGTTTCCCCCTTCTCCCTCCCTCCATTTCCCCTTCTCCTTCGCTCTGTTTCCCGCCCTTGTTCTTCCACCCCCTTTCGCCTATGTCCTTCGCTTTGTCATCTTGATCACCCTGTCCTCTAGCTCACACTGTTCTTTGCTGATTCTATCATTTGCTCGCTCTGTCCTCTCAACACTCTCCATTTCCGCCCCTGGACGAGCTTCAGCTCTCCTGGGTTCCCTCTCTGCCGTTCTGTTGCATACCTCGTTGCCGTTCTCCAACCATTCCCTCCCTTCTCTGCACGCTATCCATGGCCCAGTACAACCAATCCCGCTTTTCTCCTCACCGCCCATCCCTCGTTCGTCTCACGTATGGACTCACGAATCGAACCCACTACCCCCCCCCCCCCCCCTTCTACAGGGTTATCCCCACATCACACCCAGGACTTACAGCCCATGACATGCAGCTGCATCCCCACTACTCAATGTGTAGAGTCCATGGTGTAGAATGTAGTGTTGTTCTATCTATGGTGTAGAATGTAGTGTTGGTCTAGTATTTGCCAATGCTGCCACCAAAACACACAGTACCGTACTGCACGTGTTTTATGGACAGTTGTCGATGTTGTTAGAATCCTGCCAGACTTAGTCTCGGTTCTTTGTGCTTGTGCATAGTGATGGAATAACCGAAAGGTTATTATAAGCTTTCCCGAAGGATCTCCACTGTCGCGTCTTCTTATAACGAAGCAGAAGCTTGCACCAGTACCGCACTAGCTCATATAGAGCACGCGGAAGGTCGAGGGTCACCCGAAGGTCAACAGTCGAAGACAGTCAACGGTCGTGACCCTTGACTGCCCAGTAACCGCACAAGGCAGTTGCGACATGCAACATGGTAACTGTCTAGAATAGCAATAGTCGTGGGTTACTGTAGCAATGTAATTCAGTCAATAAGGGAATGTACCCCTCAGAGTACATGGCTAGCTAGGATTGCTACTTATACCCTTGTACCTCTATCTTATAATCATCTTGTTCTTTTCAATCTTATCAACAAGGTCATTACAGAGGCTTTCATAGTTCTTTCCTATACTTAGCAGCTTTATCCTGTCCACTACGATCCTTCAGTTATAACATCATGGTATCAGAGCTAGAGTGGATTATAAGGCCTGCTAAGTTCTTGTTCTTGCTAGAACAAACTCCTTATAAATTATTCCTTACATCATCAAAGACTCTGCATCACTATGGCTCCAGAAGGGAAAGCCACTGCAGAATCTCCGGGCCCACCACCAGCAACACCCACTGCACCATCTGCGGTGACCTCCGTCAGCGCCGCTCTCGTAGAGCAGCTGATCGCCCGCATCAATGCTCTTGAGAGCCATCAAGCCATGAGCATCGATGGCTCAAGCTTTGCACGTGGGGTTGCTGGACTTCCTCTCCCTGGAGAAGACCGCCGCGTCAACTCCGAGAGATCATTCACGTTTGACAACCGTCAAGCTTCAGCTCCTGCGCAAGACAGTCAACAGCGCGCACACGCAGACACGATTGCAACAATTCAGACAAAATTCGTGCTGACATCAAAGCTGAAAACATAAGTTCCCTTCGACGGAAAGGACTTCTACACTTGGAGCTTCGAGTTTGAGCTCCTCGCTACAAATGCGCAAATCTGGATGTACTACGATGGGAGCTTACCGTTTCCAACGGAAGGCACCATCCAAGAGAAGAACCAATACTACCACGAATCTCTTCTTGCGTACACCACTCTGCTCCGAAATCTCTCCCCCGACGAACAGCTCGGCATTCGCTCCTACAAATCAGAGTGGGCACCCGCGTACGCTTCCTGGGAGCACCTGCGCAACTCATACATGGCAACAGATCCAGTCACTATGAGTCGCCTTCTTAGCCAGCTCACATCCGTCAAAATGCATCAAGGGGAGAAAGTGGGACCATATATCAACCGGTGCCGCAATCTGCGCGACCACATCAAGAAATGCGGCGGATCAGTCCCAGACGACATGTTCGTCTCAATGGTCCTCTCCGGACTCGGACCCGACTGGCGTCAATGCCAATCCTTGCTCCGCGCTCGAGCAACCGTTTCCGAATCGGCCCTTTGCGCCACTCTTCTCTCCGAGCAAAAGGAGATCGACCTGTACAACGAGAAGAACACTAAACGGGAGAAGTTAGTCTTCTACGTTGGAGCAACTGAAGGGGAGCAGCACGGAAAGAAAGGAACTTTCTGCAAGTACTGCAAGAAGCCTGGGCACACTATCGATCGGTGCTACAAGCGAAAGGCCGCCGACGAAAGGCGCAATAACTCTTCAAGTCTTCAAACCTCAACGACTTCAACCTCCTCTGCCCTAACAACCACCGTCTCGCCTCCCTCCGTCGCCAGCACTTCGCAGACACCTGCACGCATCACAACCAAGGACAAAGGCAAGGGGACAATCATGAGCTGCATGGCTCGCCGCAACAGAGGATTTCGATACTACGATCGAGTAACATTCCCGGTTGACGACCCCATCAACCCTGTTGCACCCAGGCGAAACAATGACCCCACTGCCCCTACCTGGCACGACTCACCACAAAGGCACCCACTTGATTTCGAGTTGCCACCGCCAACACCGGAATCGCCTCCCAGCATTTCGGCGAACCGATACTTCGCTCTCTCGCCATACACCGGCGAAATGGATCGCGTGGTCACGCCGAAGATCGCCAACATCGCGCGACAGAGCTGCGAGAACATTAACACCTGGTACCTAGACAGTTGCTGCGGACAGCACATGGTGGGGTCGCCAACGTTCATCAGCAATTCCAAACGCATGCGTCGACCCTGCGAGATCACAGTAGCAAACAACGGCACACTCAAGGCATACGACATCGGTGAAATCTTCCTTGAAGCTGACGACACACGATTCACGATTCACATTGGCGACGTGCTCGTCGCTCCAGATCTGCGGTACAACCTGCTTTCCTCGGCACAGCTCATGCGGTGCGGAGTCGACATTCGAAGCAACCGTCAAGACAAGACCTTCGAACTTTTCTACGGCAACACTTACATCGGTAAAGCCGTTGACAACGACGAGGTCTTTGTGCTGCAGTTCTCAGCCCAAGGTACCACTGGAGACTCTCACCGCACCTTGCTACTGAAAACGACTCCTTCTGAAACACCGACTTGGTCGCATCCCACGAAAATGGATCTCGAGCGTCCCGCCTCGGACGGTCTTCTACGACTGCGCACCGTTCCGACTGGCTCAACCTCCAACCCCGCTGAGACTGGACCTGCATCAATGGAAGAAGACAACGGCACGTCAGCATCTGCGGAACCAGTCACTAAAGAAAGTGAGAAGGCTGAACCTGGATCTGGCAGTCCCGGCCCTGCACTCGGCCCTTTGGGAGAAATCCTAACACCAGAGGAGGCAGCTGCAGAAGAACGGGGCACCATCTCGGCAACAGAAGCAAGCGGTGCCGCCGAAGGTGGCTGGGGCGCCGAAGGTGGAGGATGGGACACTGGAGATAACCCCGGCGGCTGGGGCACCTCTGCAGGCGGAAGTGGCTAGGGAACTTCGACAAGCGAAGGAGGATGGGGACAAGCTGCCCCTGCCTATCCTGCAGCTCCGGGACTCCCTGCAGCGGAAATCGCAGCAATCGACCCCTACTGGGCAACACGCGGCACCAGCTGGGGCGGACCTCCTCTTCCGGACCAGTACGCTCCTGACGCACCAGAACCAATGCAAGAAGAGTCAGAGGAAGAAGAAACATACGAAGTCTTCGGAATAGCAGCAGAACTGCCTCAACCTACCGAGGAGCCAGAACCGCCAGAACAAGGACCTCAAGAAATCGAGGTCATCAGAGCCGAGTACAGTTATTATCGAATCCCCATGAAGGGACTCCCCGTCCGCGACTGGCCCAACCAGTGCCTGCTTGTAACTGGAGAACAAATCGACGCCGACGACACCGACGACATCATCGGAATTCCTCACACGCTTCTGGAACGGAAGTCAATCCGCGCGTTCGCCGCCGACGCTGACGCCGCCGCCGATGCAGGACCTGAAGGGAAGGCAAACGACGAAGCAGCAAGACATAAATATTATCAGAAAACAGTCGGCTATCGTGCGGAACCAGAAATTTGGCATCAACGGCTCGGGCATCCCTCTCACATGACACTCAAAAACTCTCTGCGGGCTGGCGTCCTCGACGACGGAGCACTACTCCTTCCCCGCGGAGGTTTCCTCACTGCAGACTCGGAAGACTCGCCCTGCACAGTGTGTCCTACTGCGTCGCTCGCCCACAAGCCCTTCCCCGACTTACCGCCTGGCTACGAGCGCTACAAACCGCTCGAGAAGGTCTACAGCGACTTCATGTGCTTAACGGAGGAAGGGCTCGATGGCGAAAACTACACGCTGACCTTCATCGACGCAAGCACTCGACACGTCTGGGCTGTTAACACTGACAGCAGGTCACTCGCCTTCGAATGCTTCATCGTGTGGATGAAGCGGGCTGAACGACAATCAGGGCTTAAGCTGAAGAGCTGGCAGACGGACGGAGCTCTGGAATTCTTCTCAGACGAGTTCAAGGAGCTCTTCAGGCAGAAAGGGATTGAACACCTGGTGTCCCTGCCCTACACTCACGAGCAGCAAGGAGTAGCAGAACGGACAAACATGAGTCTCGCCACCAGGATGAGGGCCCTGATGAAGCAGTCGGCCATCCCAACTCGTTACTGGCCGTTCGCCATGAACCATGCAGTCCGGCTGCACAACTTGCTGTCATCCCGAAGCCTCGAGAACAACAACCCCCCCTACAAGGCATGGATGGGCAGAAAGGCAGACACGCGCCTGCTTCGGGTGTTTGGCTGCATGGTACAGTACAGGCCATACACAGCAAGGACCGAAAAGTTTACTGACCGGGCTCGCTGGGGCATCCACCTCAGAATTGAGAAGGAATTCAAGGTGTGGATCGTGCTGGACTACGCGACACACGAAGTGACAAAATCACGTGACTGCATCTTCTACGAGAAGCTGACCCTGCCACTGTTCAACGAACACCGCAAAGCTGACAACGCACCGGAAAGGGTTTTCGAGGGACACCGCAGCTTCGCAACTCCACACGATGAAGCTAACCTGGCGGAAGATGTGGATGCATTAAATGTTACCCAGTTTGACAGCGCACCCAACATCCCCCTTACAAGCCCGCTCCAGACTCCGACCTTCATCCCTCTACACCAACCTGATCCCGATGATACAACTCTCGAAGCCCATAATTTCAACAGCGACGCCCGCCAATCACCAGACGCCGCGTTACCACCGCCAAACACTTCGCAGGACTCCATCCGCCCTGGCAACGAAAGTGACGACGACGTGGTCGAAGTAACCAGCTTCCACGACTACGATCGCCTGCACTACGAAAAGACCAACGAAACTGGTCTCCGCATCCTTGGGCTCGCTGTCGCTGTTCGCCACACCTCACCCAAGG